GAGGCTGTCCGGGGTGAGGGCAGAGCTGCTCCGGAGGGAGCGACAGTGCCACAGCCGCAGGCGGAGAGGTGAGGTGGCAGGGCGAGGCGGCCGCTCTCCAGGTGAAGAAGGGATTCGCTCTCGAGGTGAAGAAGGGATTCGTGCCTTTGCCCGAGGTCCCAAGGAGTCCAGCTGAGGGCTGTCTGGGAATTCGAGCAGGCTGTAAGCGGGTCACAAAATTAAAGGGTGACTTTTCTAGGAAATACAGGCTCTTCGCTGCACCTCGGCGCTGATCCGAACGTCGGGGTCATGGGCACAGTGTCAATGGATGTATCCTCAAATCAGATTTGCGATAGCAAAATACAGAAGCTTGAAAGAATTGGGTTGAGAGTCTTGCTTCTTTGTAGTCTAGGCATGCTTTTTCATTTCAGATGCACTATCCTTGCAAAACTAAAAGGAAAATACGGAATAGCTGTATACACCGTACCTGCTGCTGAGACAGCTACCGGGCGCAGGTTCCATATAAGCCCCACATTTTCCGCAATACAGTGTAATGTTTGATAATTTCCTTCGGTGGTGGGCATGAACAGCAGTTCTCTCAAAGCTACGCATGGCTAAGTTTATCAGATGCTCACAATAGTATGTTCATCCGGCCTTCAGCTACGCTGAATGTTTGCCAGCTAACTGGCCTCATTAATTTGTAACTGTGAAACAAACCACAATTCAGGCAAAAGAGTTACTAGAGGCCAACTGCTAGCCGTGATGGACATTCGATGTTCACCAACGTTTTGCTATGCAAACCAACATAACCGAGAGGACTCTCAAAGTTTTGTGAAATCAGTGTGATTCTGTGAGTCTAATCCTCAGCTAGTACAACACGGTTCTCATGCCAATTTGCTCTGTGATTGGGACTCAGGATTGCTCAGGTGGTACACAGGATCTTGTCCAAAAGTGCGTAAACAGATTTGTATGACAGCTTGTTTAAAGGAAAAAAAAAAGAGGTTTTCCCACTCCGCTGATAGTTTTGAAGCCTGGTCCTTTACTCTGTTGTTAGAGTCTTTGCAGTTTTGATTCCGTGGAAACCAATATATTCCACCGTGCCAACAAACCTGGATAAATATAATACCGAATTAATCATTTGAGCCCAATTTTTATTTGTGCTAAGAGCCTTTTTACATGGGAAAATTGATGAGCATAATTGTAGCAGAATGATTTATACTGGTATGGCTTTCCTGATGTAACATTCCAGGTAGATGTTTTAACTGGGTGTCATTATTCCATTTCCCTGTATAGATGAGTCCTATATAGATAATTCCCCTTTTATAGTTAGCGGTCGGAGCAAATTACATCTCCTTATTACATTTACACCAAGTTTAAGGCACTCTTAGGATGGGCAGGAAATATAATGGGTCCGTACTGTAATTGAGAGTGCAACCCTTAAAATCCTATTTGTGACAGCTACAATCAAATTGTCATCTGCTATAATGTTTTCATTTCTTCTCATTCCCAAACAATGAAAGGCGTTAAGTCTGTTTAAAACAAAATGTTTGAAGGTCTAGCCCCAAAATACGTACATCGGTTCATGCAGGCTAAGGAAGCAAATGCAGTTTGTCATATTTAAAGAGAACGGTGCCCAGTCTGTAGGTAACATCTTCCAGTGCCAGATCCAGCACTGTTGTAATCAGGCATCCTGGGGACTTTGTGATACAAAAGGAAATTTGACTTCATGATATCAAGGCTAAATTTGGCTCCCCAATGCTTAGAACACTCCTGAAGGCATGATGCTCCAAACAATTAAATCTTGCATAATGTTGAATACATCCGTATAGGACACACTGGCTCAGTTCTTGTAAATCCGTTGTTACTGGCATCATTTTTTTCCATAAAAAGATGGTTTTCCACAGTTGGCAGCAGTCCCGTTCAAAAGCATCTTTGAGCTGTAGAAATACAAAAGAGTGTACTTTATTTCCAGTCTGTATTTCCCTCTCTTTCTGGCCATTGTCCACCCACCTGCCCTTCCCCCCCCATGAAAAAAAAAAAAAAAAGCCCTTACCCTTGATTTAGACCAGGGTGTTTGGCAAGCATTTACTTCTCTGTTCTTAACCCTTTTGGTCATTTGAAAACAAAGTCCTGCAGCAGTGTGAAATTAACTTATATGCATAACATTTGAAGTGACGGCACAAATTCCCGCTGGAATGAAGGGCTATTCACTTCAGTGGGAATCGGCAAATAGTCTTGTAGCAGAACAATGTGCTTTTCTGAAAACTCTCGCTTCCACTCCAATGGATGGGACAGGGCCTCCCTGCCGATGCTTGCACACCACCACCCGTTATGACCCTTTAAAATAAACCCACGCCAAACAAAACCTCCTTTTTTTTTTTTTTCTTTTCCATGCGCTTCCATCTGGATGAGATGTTTACCCTGTTACTACACAGAGTTTCTGTGATTTGCTAACAGGTGGTTGTGTTTCTGCATCATTCCTAGAGCCGAAGTCAGAATAGTTGTGTCTCTGGCCATGCCTCAGCAAAACCGCAGCTTATTTTCTCTGCTGTATGGAGAAAGGTGCCTGTCCAATTCCTTGTCTGGAAAGCCATGGAGAAGCACCTCTGTGGGCTGTGCAGCAGGCATGATTGACAGCAGTGTCAGCAGGACCAAAGAACATGGGCTGCATATTTATGTGCATGCGTCTCCTGACGCAGCGGTGGACTCGGTGCTCCGATGGCCCACGATCATGTTTGGGAAAGGCTCAGGCAGCTCCCCACAAGGCACAAAGTTTGGCTTATCGCCAGTAAATTATGTTTTTAATAGTGTTGGATACACTTAGGAATTTCTGGAGGGAAGGATGCTCTATAACCATGACTGTTATTAAGAAATGACTAAGTTTAAGAATATGTTGTAAAGTTGGATTATTCTCATGTTTCCCAGCTCTTTGCATACAGTATAATGCAAAGTCATCTGGGTTGTCATCTCATAGAACAATCTATCATAATATTTTGATTCAGATCATAAGCAAGCTTAGCCAAGAATAACATACATACAGTCGCATGGTATATGATATTTTTAAAATCCATTTGCCCAATACTTTGCCTATTAAAGACAACGTACTTAAATCTTGTTTCAGTCAAAGACTGTCCTGTTAAGGAGAAATCTGAGTGACCGAGTCCCTCTTGATTGCGAAGTACGATCAGAAAACTGTGGTTCTCTTGCACACAGAGTGGCCCTGCTCTCACATGTTTGTGCAAGAACCTTTACGTTTCTCAGCAAAGTCCCAAAGCTCGTGCTTTTTTTCACAAAACCAGTAATGGTTACTGACAGCAATCCCCCCCAACATTATGTTTCATACCCACGGTACATATCATCCAGTCTGCAGTGCAACTGAGATTCCCGTTGTCTCAGCCAAGAGGTTTTAAGACTCCCAGCCAACTAAGTAAATTCCTTATGCATTTCTGACAGACAAAAAATAATAGGTGAGGAAACGGTACAGTTTGCAGTTAGATCTCTCTGGTTGCCACTTACCTCACTGAGAAAGAGGACAGAAAACTTAAGGATTCCTCTTGGAAGGATATTTGCAAGTCAGACAATGCTTCCTCTGTTTTCTTTCTGCTCTGCCTTCTCTTACTGCAGTCTCTCCCTCTCCTTCCGTATGCCTGTTTTCTTGCCTTTCTCTCATTAACTATTTAGGTATACTTTACCTATTGTGATATTATGTACTCATAAATACAAAGCACCCTTCGTTTGTACGTATCTATATGGACAAATGCAAGGTTTGTGTGTTTTGTTCTAAAACTACCACCTTTCTTTCTAGGCACAAGCACTAGATACTTGAGCAGAAAGAGAGCACAGGAAGGCAAGAGGGAGAAAACTGAAAGGAACGGGTGGGAAAGGGAGGAAAAAGAGAGAATGAGCGCGCGAGGGCTGTTACCATGAGGTTTCAGAAGCAGGAGCGTACTGGTACAATTAGAAAGAGAGGGAGAAACCCCAAGGACCCGTACCCTGACCTACAGCTGGGAAGTAGCTGGTGTAGCAGGGGGAGGGTGCTGAGCTTCACTTTTTGAGTCACTCCCCCTGGGGCTGCTCCCTAGCTGCAACATCAGCCAGAAGCTGAGGGTGTTGCCAGTCTGCTTGGGTGCCAATTGGACATCCCTATACCATAGTCCCACTGGCCCCTGCCTCTCCAGTGGCCAAAAAGGTGCCCCCAGGTGCACCTTCTCTCTCTGGCTGATTTCCCTGCACAAGAGAGGGCCGCTAACCTGCCTCTTCATCCAGCCCCTGCCTGGTATAGTGGTGGGGGAGGGATAATTACCTGAGATAGTCCTGGTTCAGCTCTGTAAGAGGATTCTTGTTTTCCCGCTAGATGTTTCTCTCATGACTACAGAAAACCAAAATGAATCTGCTTTTCTACAGGGTCAAAAGGAAGAAAGATGATTCCTGAAAAAAATTTATATCCCCATGAGGTTGCAATTTTATAGCACATCCCTACATTTCATGATGATATTTGCCTTGTCCCGATTCACTGACGTGATCCCAGCCCCAGCAGGAGGTTAGTTCTCGATTCAAGGAAAAAGGAGTTTGCACATTCTTTTTAGTGGGGACCTGTATTCATTTTTAGTAACTGTTACTCCAGCTTCACTTAATTATGGGAGAAGAAGCAGGTTTAGAATTCCCTGGAGGAATTTGCTGTTTGTTCTTCTCAGACTTATTCTCTTCAGCTTCTCAACTGCTCCTCCCTTAGTCTTTTCATTTTCCTTGAGAGCGCTTATCCTTAGAAATGAGCACATCTCGGCAAGATTTTAACTACTATAAATAGCATAATCTTATTACTTTGCTTTTCTTCTTTTCCACCGTCTTTTCCTCTGTGGATTGATTGTTAAATGCAGCAGGTATTCCACAGTATGACAAGTGGAGTACACGAACCCAAAGGTTGTGCCTGCCTGTGTCCTAGGAATACAGCTTGGATATGTAACACATGAAGGATGCACCACGATAAAATCACAAGGTAACTGCAGTAACATGCTGGATTTCTTCTGCTTATATCCATGTTTTCTGCTTGAAACCACATTAATTTCTGCAAATTCAAAAACCAGCATATGATTGAAACATGCCATGGTTCACTAAGAAAAAATCACCTTATTATATCCATAGGTATCTGCTGTATGAAGCCCATGTACACTGCAGTTTCTACTATGCCGTTTTTGAATGTCTATAAAAGTTAGTGTTGGCTTGAAACTAAATGAAGGTTTTGGTCTCTGGTTTTAGAGCACATTTTAAGTCACTTCCAGATCAAGTATTTTAAAACTTTGAGTGGCAAAGAGAAATGCATATTAATTTTAGACAGCTATTTCTATGCTGTTACATATATAACTGAATTCAGAATCTGCCCTTCTACTTTCAACCTGAAAAGAATAGCCCAGAATGCACCTACACACTTTTGATCCTTTGAAAAAAAAAATTGAAAACTGAAGGAACCTTATTACACTTTAAGAACAAGTCTCTGTGCACAAAGACTGCTTCATTTCTGTACAGCTTTTTAACAGTTGCTGTTAGAAGCATATGGAAAATGTCTAAAGCTACGCTTTAACCTGAGCATTCACTGGTCTCTCCCAAGGTGTGTC